ACCTGCCTTGGCCTGGGCAACCTGGCAGTACTCAGCTCACAAGCCAGTTATAGAACATTTTCCTTTTTATAAAGATTATTGTACCATGATTTGTTTGGCACACAGTCTGTCCTCAGACAAGTGTGAAATATATATAAGTTCATCGTTAGGTGGAAACAACACGTATTTGAAAAATGTAAACTTTAGGAGGTGACAAAGACGAGAATGATATGACAGTGGGAAAATATGCGGAATAGAAGTTTAATGCAATGAAGACAATTAGCAATGGAAAAAGTACTACCGAAAGTTTATCTAGCGTATTATTTTACAAGCAGCAGACACTAATGGTCCCACATGATTCAGTAGAAAGGCGGGTGACCTTTGATAACTTGTCTTTGAATTTCAGTTATGTTTTTCGTTATTCTCTGAATGTCCCTCGCTCTCTGTGGAGTGAACAGACTGCTAGATTTGGGGAGGAGGCCATGTTCAGTAGTAGGAATTGGAATGGTTTTCTGAGTTTTCCCATATGTGGGAATTTGTGGTACATTTTAAACGGTTTGATTTACCTGATTTAAAGTGACGCGTGATATTATCACAGAAAAAATGTTATCAAAAGGTGTTAATGGTTTACCACTAACTTAACCTTCGAGAAATAATCAACCCAATGTATACGGTTTTATCTAATATGCGGTACCTAGCTGACTTGACAGCAGAAGTAAAAAGCAGGCTCACAAAATGCGTTGGGAGTGCTATTCGGTATCCATACGCGTGCATGTGAGTTCCCATGAGACTATTATACCGGATTGTTAATGATCTATTAATGATATATCTAATGGTGGGAATAAGAATTGGATATCAATCATTCCGTGACCCGAAAAACAATTGGGTTCACTAGGTAAATTCAGAAATATTTACAATAAAACTCAGCATAATAAAATAAAATAACAAATGCACAACCTACTTGCAAGTTTTTCCTATTCCAGTTTAACATTATAATAGCTTTAAATAGGTTGCCCATCTTAAAGGATGATTTTCACATGTCCGAACTCTTTATATTTCAGATTGAGGGAAAGAAAAAGGCATTATTATCTTTTCGTATCCACTACATCACCGTGTTCTTATATTTGGTTGCAGGATCACGGAAAAACGTTGACCATTGAGATTTTGTTATTTCAATTTCCTCATTTACCTACTAACAAGATTTCAGTAGCGCACATCCACATACAAAATATATAGCTCTGGAAAGCAACGATTGCATACACCTACCTTTGTAAATAAATAACGATCAGTTTATTTTGTATTCTGAATTCGGGTGACTTTCGATTGTCAGAAGATACAATTTTCACGTGTCTGCTATTACTGTCGTCATAGACTTAGTTATCATTGTCTTACGGGGAAAGACAACTTCGTTGATCGCTGCTAAGTTGACAATATACACAAATGTAAGTCCGTGTGCGTAAGATGGGAGTGGAACCACACTGTACAAGTCATCACATTCGGAGAGAATATACACTGCTGCAGAGTTTTAACAACCTCATACGATAAGTATTATTATGATCATAGTGCTGGTTGTGTGGTGCTGATATGCCATATTCCTGGTGGTGCAATGGGTTTCATGTAATGCACAAGATGATTAGCGAAAATTAGATTATATATTCACCTTCAACATAAACACCGTATAATGAATTAAAAATCATAACTCAATGATGAAATAACTGCAAGGTAAAAAGAATCTACCGATTTAAGGAAGCAGAGTACGCAAGGAATCACATAAACGTCCTAATTTCTTTACCTCTTCATAGCATCATAACGAATGGGTTTATGCAGACACACTATAATTTGAAAGGGTTAAACGATTCGTGCACGCAGAATATTGTGTTCAGCCTCCGGCATCATTAATAAACGAACAGTGTGAATGTCGAAAGGAAATTTCGAGCGTCAATAATCTTGCATGACTGCCCACCAAGCCCCATTGATCTCTTTTAATCTCAATCACAAACCTAATGACGGGACTAAGCCAGAACATGTGATTGCATTGATTTAGACAAGCTTACTTCTTGAAGATAGTTTACTCCCGGATGCGTCTACCATATAAGCGCACTCATCATAAAATTGGAGATGTGGGTCAGTTTGTTGTGCTCCAATCGTTCCCTTGGTCTATTAATATTTCCACTCCTAACCGAGGAACTGGCTTCTACATTTATTTCATTATTTTCAAAGAAATTTACCGAGTACGGGACGAGGGAGTGGGTTGGGTTTGGGCAAAAAGTGATGAAAACTCAGTTGTCTTGTTTGGCGTACCAGTGCGTTTCATCCGATCAGGATCTCATTCATCATATTTGTGGTGTGGGTGACCCGTGTTCCACCATCAATTGCGGCCATAAAGATCCATTGCCAGAACTTTCTGACTACGGTGGGACAAATAAAGTTAGGTCCGTTGGTTTCAGTTAAACAGTACCTATTGATCCATCCTTGGTAGATAGTGATCGTAAGAAGGCATAAAAAAAATTTCCCATATCATCGTCGACCATACATAATTCGAAATATCTTGATTAGAAGTGGCATGATGGTTTGCGGAAAAATAATCTTAGTGTATTAACAAATCATTTAATGTGATCGTTTCAATGTTGTTGGCAAAATGGTAGTCATACGTGTCTGGGTCCGAACCGGGTATGTTAGTAGTCAGAGATAAAAAATTGAATCTCCTCTTCAGGTGCCTTGCGCAATCTGCATTCACTCTTCATCATCGATTACCTTGATAACAATTTTGGCTGCTCAGTTCGACAAACATAATTGAATCGCAGCTCATTCTTATGTTTCTCCGCTGACCATGTATGTTCTTGGCTCATTTGCTGGGATATGCTATTTACATATTCATCCATCCACTCTTATTGAACCTCCAATCACGTGATGCAGATGTCCATGTCAAACATTGATCAATACACTTACAGGCTATCTATCAGTGAACCAGTGTGACCCGGTTTTAGGTCATTCGTTAATCGATCGATGTATTCTCACAAAACGTTCATTATATTAGATCTGTTGCAGCAGAAACTCGACCTTTCACGGACAGCCGCAGATGTCTCAAGTTGGCAAATGCCAAACGAGCCTGTTGTATGCCAGTTGACACTTAGTCCGTGATGCATCCATAGGATGAGAAATAGCCGCCCAAATAACAAAACTTGTCCACTTGTACTGTTACTTTCCAGTTAGAGTGCGGCCGTGTGCTGGACCAATCCAGTCTTCTGGCAATATTTTATACTTTGAAGGTATAAAACGCATACCGAACATGGTTACGCTGGCATTCAAACTATCCAGAGAAGCTTGCAATTTACCTAAATCTTCACTTAGCAGTACAATGTAATCTGCATACTCCAGATCAGACGGTCAACCACCTGGGAGCAACCGGATGCCACTATCCTCGCAAGAGAATAGGGTTATTTTCATAATCAAATCCGTAACAAAGTTAAATAGAAAACGAAAGAGAGGGTAACTCTGATGAACACCACTTTCCACGGAGAACTCGGACTCAGCTGTTAGTATAAAGCGATCGCAAGATTGTTATAAACTTCTCGAGCACGCCCTTCAGGAAAAGGCAGCGCCTCAGTTTAGAGCGATCAACTGAACCGAAGGCCGCTTTCAGATCAAGGAAGACAGAGATATTGGGCCTACGAAGAGAATGTACCTGCTCCAGAATTTGGCGAAGAGTGAGGATGTAGTCGATGCAACCTCGACCAGGTCTAAAAGCAGTCGAATTCACATGTGTGCGGCAGACAATCGACGGAGAATGAGTCCAGAGATAAGTTTAGAAGCCATGTTGATTAGTTAATCATTAAGATCCCTGTATGCGAATAGCAGAAGTAGAGTTCAAGCTTACACTTTTTTCATCCCAGTTCACTATGGAAAGTGGCGTTTGTCAGAATTGACCTTCCTTTCCTTTTCTCTTCAACCTTGTAACAGACATGGATATAGAAACGGCAATTTTCTCGTGCGACGATAGTTACATCGATATTACAAGACGACAGGTTGTCCGATCCGGAGAACACAGACGAGTGCCAAGTGAAGATCACGTTAATCAACACGCTGTTCCGGATTTTCTGAATGATAATGCCGTCATGTTCAAAATGTATTTTGCACGTTTCAAGTGTAAAATGCTCTCGAGGGATCGAGTTGGTTATACTCACAAATAGACGACACATTAAGGGTATAAAAGGTGGAGTGAGTTCGGTTCGTTCAATAAGTGCAGAGATTGTACGACTGATAACAATTTCCGTTGGTTTACACAAGTTTACTATTACTGGGGTCAATTGTCTGCTATCGATATATTCACGAATTCAGTTCCAGTCTGCAAGGCATTTTACGAACGCACTAAATTGCGAGGACTTTGAAAACCTCTCACACACGCGCACAAGCCTTTTCGGTTACAATATAGCGAATTTTTATCTTACCCTTTCCAGCTCCGAACATTGTTCTGCTTCATGAATTCCCATCAACCGAGTGACATAGGTTTATCAGTTTCAAATAAACATTTTTCACAGATGCGTGTCACCAATGTAAAATTTCGAGTGCAGCACGGGCAAATATGCCCTGACAAGGCAGAAATAAACAGATCAAAATAGGTTTTTAATATGCATGAAGCGGAAACTGTCAGAAACAAATGCAAAAAAAGCTCTTCTGGACAGGAATTAGTGTGCATTGTGTATTAGGAGGAAGAGAACTGAAGAATGAATGGAATTGTGGCAGTTTTTAATAAACACCTTTAGTACCAACATGGTCCAGGGATCGTTATGAACGAGTCACTGAAAGATCGCGGTCAATCAACGGGTCACGATAGCAAGAACCAAATACAACAGCACCGCTAATGTACAAAGATGAGTGTGTTAGAAACAGAAAAATGCAGGAAAAGGAAAGAACATTACAAGATACCGTGAGCATCTATAAAGCATTAAATACGACAAATACATGGAAATTTCTAATTACTGATGAGTACATACAAGAAAGTTGAGTGGCGCAAAAAAAAATTATGAACTTGGTGGCACACTGGAACTCAAATCCGCACACAGAGTGACCACTGAACCTGTATCGAATAAACCGTAAGGCGGCAATGATTTCAAGTCACTGGTTAGCCGTCGAACCAAGTTTCGACTCAGTCCTACATCCACTAACAAGTGTGAGATCGTGCGCGAGCCAGAGGTCGAGTTGTTTGATGCCGATTCGGATGACGGATCGACCAGTTGAGACGGCAGAAGTACTGGTAAACCGAGTTCGACAATCCAATGGCTTGATGCATTACAATAGGCGGGTTCCTTAAAAACGTTTGTGCGAGGCATGACGTGAACCATATAAGAGAGTGCCTGGTGCTGTTGAAGCCAATGCGACAAATGTGAATTCATTTCGATCGCATCACTGGGCCCATGACCAACGATGACTAAATCGATACGAACGTTGGTGGGAATCTTGAGTACGGCTGCAAACAGATAAAAACAGAATAATGAGGACAGAGTCAAGAACAGCTAGGATAAAGAGCAAACGTTTATTTGAACTTCAGCTCCTAATGTTCAATTTCAAGCCCGTTACATCTTCCTTATACACCCCGTGATAAAGTATTTAGCTACTCATTGTTTTTATTTCCACATAATTTTTGCCACTCCTGTGTGCAGTAATATTACAACTTCCAGATTCCGAACAGGAAGCCCAAATAATAAATTCTTTAGTTGACTGAAAACAAAATAACGATTCTCATCACGATAGAAGTAATGTACCTTTGTGACCCCCCCCCCTCTCTCCCGCACGTAATGCAAACCCATTGATCCAACTGCGGATCGATCAAGAAACCACACTGGTGCAATGCAATCACATTACCCACTTAATCACAAGATAGCGGATCAGACTGCTTCTAGAAGACTGCATGACCTACCTTTGCAGGCTTGCTGCGGGCATCTCACCTTGCGTAGTTTAGCACTACGGTCAGACTCAGTTGAACAGATCCCGAGTCGAACTACTAACTTCAAAGGAATATGTCCTCGTAAAAGAAACGATATCGAGTATCGACCAAGTGAAACGATTTGATTAGCTGCGTTTTACCTGCGAGGTCTTGGGTGCGACCTTTAGTAGGATTATTAGATTAGTACAATTGATGGGACGAACAAGGTGGAAGCAGCTGTACAGTGCTCCCGAGATATTCACTCTACGTCTCCTTTGCTCTTCCAGTTCTTTCGCATAAAAGATTATTTACTGAGATTTCCCATCCCAAATTTTATTCTGTTGCTGTTCGATTTTTATGAACGGCATTAATGGTGCGCACAGTTGTGACAACAAAAAATAGTGTCGTGAGGAGGAAGGAGTCGCAATGATTGTGTGACCAGTTATAATATTATCTCCACTCGTTGCAAATGAAATATACACTCTTGGAATCGAAGGATTTGTGACACACTTGCGGAGTCAAAGGCATTAGGAAGCCTAAAATGAAGTAATGAAAATACTTTAACATGGGGAAGCGTAAGTAAAAACGAAAAACCGTGTGCGTGATTAAGGCATCCTGCCATTTTAGACCTAGTTTGTGGAATGTAATCTCGAAATAACGTAGGGTGATTTTTACTGATAGAGACCAACAGATATCTCAGATATTCCTTGTCTTTGATCTATTTTAATAAAAACAAGTAGTAGTACATGGGCAGGACTGATGGTGGATATAAATTTCGCGTGCTCAACCAGTTGTCCAATAAGCAGGTTGGCATTTTACAGGAACAATATTATAAACCTAGGTTTAACTGAATACAGTGGGGCAAGTGAACAATTTTTGATTGTTGCGTATAGATCCGGTAAATATTTTTTTCTGTTCCAGAGGAAACTTCGAGAGACCAATCAAGTTCGGTGGTTGCAACGATAGGGACGTGTATCAGGCAGTTAAACTATAACCAATCAGGAACTCAAGTTTCTCCGGTAGAAAAACTACGAACAAAAAACACTTGATTTATGAACCATATGAGAACCCTTAGATGATGCCTGTTCGGGGCTCTACACGGTGCAGTACAAAATATGACGAACAGACTGACCAAGAATTCGACCGTATTACCTTTACGCAACCATGGTGGCCGACCATTATGTAACTATGGTGCATGGACTGAATGCCTGGCATGCAAATGAACGGTAAGCGTTTTTTAACGGCTCAATCGAGATAAATAATTTATCGACCAATTTCTCTGCTTCACTCCACTATTGCAACTACAGTGATTACTCTCATAAAGCGAAAAACTTTACAAGATCTCGTTCTCACCCCGAGAAACCTAGAGCGCATATGCTGCTGAAGCCCTGTGCATTTCTTGTAGATAAGGCATTTTTACTGAACTGAGAGGGAGAGAGAGTGAAAAACCAATATCTACTGGGATAACTTACTTGGTTTCAGGATATCCTGGTCGGATGGTTACATGCTTAACTAGGCGACAAGGTGCATGGTAGGACGGATCGGACACTGACCCCGATGGAATACCGTTTTCACAACGTACTGCAGCCTTACAATTTAATCGAAAGTTCTGACTGCAAACCCCGCGAAAGTGTGTGTATATATATATATACATCTCGGGGGCATCGTGGAGTTTGAAACTTTCCGATCACCAAGGGTGATAATTTTCCCCAGTCATGCTCTCACAAAGCAGTAACGTGACCGTCTCTTTGGAGTTCTTGGACCCAGAAGCTGTCTTTCCTGTCAGACTCAATGTTCTTTCTGGAAGCTACCTGTAATACAAAGCGGTTTCATCTACATTGAAAATATCAGTCAGCATATCCTTGTATCAACTGCGGTAACCCCCACTCGAAACTCATTCACTGCATCACGTGGTACCGCTAAACTTTCCTCACAGACCTAATAATGCAGTAATGCACATGAGTTGCTTGTTTCTTACTTTGTACGACCGAATACCATATCTGTCTGACCAAGAGCAAAACCAACCTTTGGGAACCTTGAAGTTATTATGATGCAATCTTCGTGCTAGCTGGATTTCCTTCTTACGTACGATGCACTCCACCATTGGGAACCCTCCGTGTTTTTCCCTCATAGCAGTAGACCAGGCCTAAGTTGATTCATTCACTGCCTTGAACTTTTCGTTGGTTTTCAGGTGGCACCTTTCCTCAGATGCACCAGCGTTCAAAAATTACCCGATAGTTGTTCGATGGGATACAACATTGTAGACAGTTTTTCGTGAGATCCCAAGTGACTTGGCTAGGGAGCTCTGAGTTGCACCTGGCTGTTTCAGCATCTCCAACAGATTCTGCTTCTCTCTGATCGATAGGTAGTTGTACATTTTGACGTCAAATGACACTGTCTCCGATTACTTGCATCGGTGTGACTTCCTCGCTAGGATTATCCAATCAGTAAACAGTGAAATGAACGCGTCACACTAGATGCAACGCCATTGATTGAGTGCGACATTTCAGGGTGGATGGTCAATGGTCGTCCCAAACATCGGCCAACGACCAAGTGAGTACGTATCAGGAACTGCAACAAATTGGGGGGTGCGACATTGCACAGTCAGAAACTAGGTTAGTAGACATACGATTGGTTTGGGTTTCCGAAAAAGTGGGAAGACATTGGAAAATGCGACTTCTCAGGGGTGCAACATAGCAGGAGATTGACTGTATCACGGCTGAGTCCAGACTGTGCCAAACAAATCATAGCACAGTGATATTTGTGAAAAGTTCCAAGATTTGTTCGTCGGTGTGATACTGCCAGGTTGCCCAGGAAGGTGAATTTTCTTGGGAAATCCACCACCGGAGCATTGCACTTAGAACAGTCTGTTGACATCAAATTAAATTCACTGACATGTTTCTCGCTATTTATACTAACGGTGTAGTTGCTACGTAATAATGGGCTTTTTTCTCTTGCATCTGTGGTCGAATTCATCATTTTCTAGAATTGTTCGCAATATAGGTATGTCGAATTCTACTTTTGGGTGCTTCCAATCTGTTGTCGATACAATTACACGACAGAAGTTACTCGACAATGTCCCGGACATAAGATTAAAACACGAGTATTGATGCTGTGGTTACGACTTAACACAGGTGACCTGTCTGGGACTTGATTTTATTGGTAAACTGGTGAATGATTTTTGTCTAAATTAACCTTAATGTACTGTTTTCCCTGCTTAATCTTTTCATTCATATAAAATACAAAGTGAATTCCAGCACAAGGAGGAAACCGTACTGCGAAAAGGCACTGTCAAGGGGAGTGAGGGAACATTCACGCAAGAGCTAGTTTATTGATCGCGTTTAAAGAGTAAAACAATAAAGGTACATGGAAAGCGGGAGTATTCCTCAGCTGGACGATTCGGGATGAAAGATTAAAGCAGCGAAGTAGGATATTTAGTGACTGCAATTTTATGGAGATGCCTAGCTAAATGTGTGATAGCCTGCATTCTTTTACATTGGTTTTACTGCTCCCCAGGATTTTCTCCCGGTCTAAAAGAGAAAAAACTCGTTCCTTTCTCCAGATTACTTAAACTCCTTTCCCATTGCAAAAATATTTCTGAAACCGTTTTGGTTGATTGATTGCGTGCAGGCATTTTGATTCAGATGATAGATTTCTTCACTAAACCTTGTCGAAAGTATTGAAAATTCGCCCCATGGGGGGGGGCATAAGGCCTACCTTGGCTCAACAGTGAACGGGATGGGTGCGTGAAAGATACCGAGGCAAACTCCGAAGAGCAAAAAACAAAACAGTCACGGTAGAGAGGGGATAGCAAAGCAACTGGCCATCGATGGGCTAATGAATGCAGATTGGAAGACAGGGAAGGGTCGTCAAGCAGACGGATGGCCTTCGCTGAACCCGATCAAGAAGAGAAGATGAAGACTCACTACACACGTGATGGCAGCATTAAAGTGCAGTTAGGTCTGAGCTTTGTACAGTCGATCAACTGGGTTGGAGAAGTGTTGGAATCTAAACAAAAAACTAAGCTTGCACATAGCAAGAGAAGCAAGTTAAAATATAAAAGGCGACCAGTAAAACGAAGCATCTGTTGGTAATACAAGAAGATGAAGGCCTGTGGAATGTAGTTAAGTGGAATCCGATGACAAGCGTGGGGAGAATGGCGTTTCAGAGAAATTTAAAGGGTTTGGAAGCTTAAGGGCATAGTGATTGTGGTGGCCCCAGGAAAAGATGTGTTCGAGGTCGGAGTCTAGTGACAAACTAACTGAATTACGGCCTGGACTCCAGTCGGTGTTGGCATGGCGAGAAGTGTAGTAAGGGAGAGCAAGAGAGAGCAGTTGTAGATGAACGAATAAACATTTGAAATTTGGAGAATATTCTATAATCTTACGATTGATTTTGGGTTGGGGACCATGATGTTTCCCGCGTAAGCTAAGGGATACTAATAATTGGTTCTGACTTTTAAAGGCAAAAAGGTCCTTTGCAACTCAGAACCTTTACAGCCAACACTTGGTTCCGCCGGTTAATTAAGGATTCAAAACTGACGTATTGTGAAGTGGGTCTGTAGTTCATATTCTAATTCTTATATACTCAACAAGATAAAAAGTAATCGCTGATCGCAAATTGATTCAAGTTCTCAAACTTCCCTGGTCAGGAGAAGAGAAAATCGTCTGTTCACACAGCCATGAAGTAACGACTTTGGTTATGTGATCCAAACTGTGCACAAATTTGGAGTTATCTTGGGCTCATTGCCAAACACATGACTCATTCACTTTTCTGTTTGACCATATTGAAATTGTTCCATATAGACGTGATTATAAAGGCTTGAAAAGGAATTCACCGAAAGCATATGTTCGCCTACATCGTGTTCTTAATTATTGGGTATATTCCGTGATCATAAAAATGATCTGAAATTCCTGACATTAAACCTGAACAGGCTTTTACCAAGGCTGAACATAAAGACTCACAAGAAGGGCGATGAAGCAACTTGAATCCAGGCATTCGACTGATCCACATGCGATGAACCGGACTGTAATCGAGTGGGTCAGTTATTTGGCCATGTTGCACTAGTTGATCCAAAGTGAAACAGCTTGCGCGATCCGAGTCAGCTTTGGCGTTCGTATTCACTGCGGAAGATGAATCAAATGCCCCAGATACAGCGTTATCCTCGACCTCTTCCTCTTCTTCATAGTCATCTAAGGACTTGCCACCCTCATCTTCATCCTCATCCTCCAAGCCATAGTGGCTAGGACGAGGGGCGAACTGTAAGGTCAGATTTAGCTCCGTTCTGCAAATTGCGGACGTGCCTCCTGTGACTCCAGTGTTTTTGGTCGGAGTGTCCGTCAAGGAACACTTGGGTACGAATGCAAGCACACACGCACCACGCATAGACAGAATCCGAGCAAGTGTGATGCACAATGCTCCACTCAAGTGTGATCCACCGGAGAGAACGAGGACACGTGGTGGAGGACGGTGTGAGGACCTGGGAAATGGAAACAGAGTCAGGGCTTATAATAGCATAATTGGCAAGGAGGAAAAAAGTGGGATAGTACCCCAAATTGCTATGATCTCTTGAACGAGGTTTACAGTCTCTTGGGCAATTCAGATATCATTACAAACCAATTTGCTTTTAACTGGCAACTGTTGGTCAATAATCTAGATACTTATCTATCGTATCCTTTCGTTGATCAGTCTAACTTGGTTTTACGCACCTCTAATAAATTTGGAATCAGCCTAAAATCGCTAATTTTTATACAAGACAGAGACCAGGTGGCTTTATTCATTGTATTCGCGTCTTGGTTATTTACCACGCTGAAGCAGCTGATACTGTCGCATCAAACAGTGACGAGAAGAACATGCGTAATGTGTAGTGGGGTCACGCAGCGTCAAGTCGGGTTAAAGGTCCCTATGATCCAGATACACAAACAAGTAGTAAAATAACCGAGATGGGTGTATCGGGTTGCGACTAGTCACCCATAGACTGTACATGACACAACAGTTTCAAACGCCAGAGCACCTGAAACAGCCTCTGGTAACGAAGTCCCACTTGCCATCAAAGTGAGAGGACGAAAAGCCAACATCCGGGACTATAATCGGGTCAATGAACAACTGATAGTTTACCTACGGGAGTTGACGAAAAGACTCCAAATCAACTTACAAGAGGTGTAGGAACCAAACACACCTTCCTGGTTATTGCAGTGGTCACCTATTCGATTGACCATCGAGGTGTGTTAGTCACCTCGGACGCTTAACCCGGTATGAAGGTTGCATGGTACGATAAATTGGACACCGGCCCCCAATGGATTGCGGTTTTCACACACCATCCCCCTGCCTTGAAGGTTAAATAATGGCCACGCGACAGCGCCCTCTGGTGATAAATATGCTACACAACCTCCTCATTTGATTTTTTCACCATACAATAAAGTCCAACACCAAGGAAACTAAGCCCTACAGTTAAATTTCACACAAAACCGATAGTGATAAGTCAACTCCTTGCAGATGGTGGTAGATGTACAACCACAAGAGGCGTCCCGACTAGATTTGGACCCTAAGGCAAAACATAAATTATAGCCAGCACCGATTGGGTGAAAAGCGTGCAACTAGAATTAAGATAAAAACTAACCTTTGCGGAGTTTGAGTCGTTTGACGCACATGCGTCATGATTTGATCTACCAAAGAGCGCCCGGCTGTTTCCAACAGGCGACCCCAGGATAGCCCCTGAGCCAGAGCAGGTAGTTCATGAGTAGCCGTGGACTCGGTAAGACAATGCGAGTCACGACCAGTAGCTAGGTAGTGGAGCATTCGATCTTGATCTTCGGTTGACAAGATAGGGACTCGAAATCCAGTGGATGAGTACCAGAAGCGAGGGTGAGACTGACTTAGACGGGTTGTGCAAGCTACGTGTGAGTATGAACTCACATTAGTCGCACAACCGACGTCACGTATTTCGCCGGTGGATGACTGAAGCGATGGATGGTAGTAAGGAACGTGATGCTCGTGTCGTTGTCTCGAAGAAGATAATGTCGGTGTATTGGTGGTCAATGTCGCATCGCTATAGTAGACTGCACGAGAAGATTCAGAACGTTCCGAATGCCGAGTATTTCCTGTGGAGATGAAACGTAATGCAAATCACCAATCGACAGAAACAAACGATCGATAATGATGACATCTGAACGGATATTGAAATTGTTTCGTTAACTCAGAGATAACAAAGACATCGTGAAGTGACTTTGAATGTGGTGTACTTATAATAACGGTTTGTGTACACATAGGAAGATCCTGTAGCTCTAGGTCCGTCAATACATTCAGGCACATAAGCGAGCCCTGATTTCACTTGAACCGATCAGACAGAGTCACATAAGGCGTATCCGTTCTTTCCAACAATGTAACACAATGATCAACCGTAGATATTTAGACATTCGCAAGTGTAGTAAAGCCTATGCGTCGTTCCATCTTCTCCATTTTGCAAGCACACAGCAATATGATATAAATCTTGTCTGAGAGTGATGGCGCAGCCACAGGTTATCCCGCGTACCCACCCACAACTGCTCAACGACTTGCAGAACTACTTCGAAGGCTATAGAAACAGAAAGGAATCCGAAAATCTACTGCATAGATCACAAAAGCGATGCAAGCGATTTACAAAAAATACAACTTATGAGAGATTAGATATTTTTGGAATTGAAAGGCTGGATCTGCTCTACTCCTTCAATTTCAAAGGTAACTCAAATGGCTTCAAAATTTTGGTGAAATTGACCGGAATAATTAGCCACGATACGAGGGCTTTCTGTTGAATAAGAGACGGGTTTAAGTCGTGCTGCATTGCATCTTAGTCACTTGTACAAACAGGCGCCTGCATTAGTGGTAGACAACTCTGTGGTCGCCTGTTTTACTATGTCCCTCCTATTGAAGCTTAATTAATCACCAGTCCTCTCGTCATTATTCTAACAGAAGTTTATACCTTTTTCAGCACCGCAACTCTCCAGTTTTCAAATAACTTGTCATACCAGTTATTTCTTCCAAAGTGGTCTTTATTTATGAATCAGTAGCCACCTCTGGATTCTCCCAATCGTGAGTTTAAGACTACGTACCTGAAACTTAAACTATCATCTCTCATCCTCAACATCTGCACTTTGTTGCCCGGTTCTGTTCTGATTTTTCACACGGCCCCAGAATAAATGTTGGCCAGTGCAAGGATACTTTGTTTGGCAGACGGTGGAACAGCTGACATCGGTTCCCTGCGGAAGCCGATTATAATTCTTGGCGAATGCTGGTTCACGTCCTTGTCGCCCTTCCATTTATTCTCGAAAATACTCTTCTGATGTTCGTATTTTTGAAGTTTAGAAGACCTCAGCCTTTTCTTTGTAATTACTCTCACGGTTCTCCTTTTGCAACATGATCGGATAACCTGTTTCAGTGAGTCCACCAATACCCATCTTGACCGCATATTAGCTTACGGAGCCGAAAACCGTGAATATTCGTAGCTTTTACCTGCCTACCACCACCAGAGTCTACTCAACGCTACATCGAACATAAAGGGCACTAAAAATGAATACAGGTTTCACACACAGAATTCCAAAGAACAATAGGCTACTATCAGTTAAATACGGTCCGAGTCCTATAAGTCACAAAAATAATATATATACTACCGAATTCAGTGCTCATCGGTGATTTATTGATTATGTACCCACACTGGATGTTATTTCGAAGGAGGCGCAAAGCTACCTGTGCACTTACCGATAAGAGGCAAACCAACACCGTCAGGACCTTCTTCCAACTGGCTTAAAGAAGGCGGNCCACCGGGCCCTCTATTGATCCCTATCGAACCTCCCCCGCCTCCGCAACGGCCATGAGGCCGATTCAAACCATGTCTGGTTGCAGTAGGGTGGAGTCCTCGCATATTATGAGGATGCGACCGGTAAAAGGAGTCACTTTCCGCACCAGAGATATCACTATTCGAAGGAACCACTTCTGAAACTAAATGGAAAGAACCAAGTGTTTGAATAGATTACAGAATAAAATAGAACACGATTCTCATAACTGAGGAACTACAGTGACATGAAGAGACATGTTGGTAAACGTCTCAACCTTGATGGATTCCAAGTCCATTGTTCCCAAACCTCTCTTTATTATCCTTTCCGATACGTAACCTTCCCTCAAACGACTTGCTACTTTCTAAAGCTCGTTACCAAATACCATGGTATGTGATGTACTACCGAGTGAATTCCAGGTTCCAAAGCCTCCTCAAAATCTCTTTCTGTGGAATTGCTAGTGTATAACGGGATCAGTGATGACCAACATATGCTGTGTACCAGAAACTTGAACTCAAAATAAAAGTATAACAAGATACTTCACAGCAGATCAGCTCACCTTGATTTTAAAACCATCAACCGGGCACAAGTGGGCAGCGGTTTCCATTGCGGTCTTATGACCGCTCATTTGGATGGAATAAAGAGAATACTGCAGTGTGCAAATCAGTGTCGCGATTAGAATACGGACGACATAAAGACTAGGGTGGCACCGAAAATGACCAGATGCACCAGAGACTAACAATCAGTGTTCTTTGATCAACTGATGAGGAATAGACTGCGCCCTAAGGTAGCGTGACGGCTTGTGCACCTCTATGACCCAACGGGTTAAACAGGATGGCTTTTGTCAAACCGAAAGATCTTATCATGCCTGGAAGAACGGAGGGTAGAGGTCAGCCAAACTACAGTCTCCCAGTCCCCCACGCTGTGAGTTCGATTAGTAAAAGTATCTCAATCGGTGAAATCGAGGAGGAGTAACCGATCCAAGCAAGTGGGTCTTCACTGGCTACATTGCGGTCAGGTTCTTGTCACACTCAAAGGCTTTGGACGAGAACCCTAGTCGTTGGACACCCTGGCAGTACCCGTCCATCAAACTCCAAGGTATACACAAACCAAACAATTCCATAAGGTATCGGTCGACACACAGGTCAATCAGGACCGTGCTACCCATTGCATCGAGCGGGATGGGTGGTGATAAGTGGGCTATTGTTCAGAAATCACAACATTAGGTTAATCCTTGGTCCTCCGCACCTAGCCTTCTCCCTTTACCTTTTCGTCTGGTCTGTAACAGTCCCTCAAGCAAATTGGCTGTCACTCGCCAAATAACGCTGCAAGTAGTTTATCACCACACACATTTAGAATTCTGAAGACTCATCAACCACTGGATCTACTGGGCCTGCAAAGTGAAGACTCCGGTGCAAGTGGGTCCGACGCGTGCAATGGACTCGTTCGGGGATTGATGTCTACTGCGATTCGGAGATCCCAACTCAGGATCTTAATACTATAAGCCAATTAAGTGCTCCGGTTTTGTCCCTGAAGTATTACCTCCGCACATCAGGAGACGACGAACCTCGGTCAGCATAGAGCAAGCACTACTGAATAATAGAGCTGAGGCTTGAATAATTGATTGGATCCCCGTCAACAATCGACTGTGTAATGCGTCTCCAGGGGTTCATTCATTTCAGTTTTTACAACCATTAACCATGCACTTCCGTGCACCGGTTTTGGTTGCTGTCTTCTGACCGCCCATTTGGATGAAAGGGCAAGATGAAGACTGCGGTTTTCATACACTGACCCGCTGCTTTGTGTCACGCTTCGGCGAGCAGAAGGCCCCTGTTTTGAATTCCCAAAGAAAATTCACCTGCCTTGTCCTGGGCAACCTGGCAGTATTCCGCCCACATGCAAATCATGGAACTTTTTTCCTTTTTCTAATGATCATTGTACCGTGATTTGTTTGGCACATTCCGGACTCAGACTTGTGTGAAAACATATACACGACTTGACAAGTAAAACTATAACCATAGAGCTGAAGATTCAGCAATTTATTAACAACGACCAGCAGTACAACACTTAGAACTTATAATTACAATTCATACTAAGCCCCGGTAGGATTACTATGCGATCAAGCTGGGCGAGAGCAGAGCTACCCTACAAGGAAGGGGTTAGTGGTAGTGGAGTTTGAACTTGAGTTCTTGAGAATTAGTGTACCAGTAGAAACAGACTAGATTATTTAACTATCAGTTAGCAGAATCAGATGATTTTCCAAATGGGTACCTAAGATATGGCTGGTGTCGCAAATAGTGGCGCTCGCGCATCCACCCATAGTTCCCTTAAAACCATTCTATATGAATTCTCCATCTTCCGCTTGAATTTGCTTTCAACAGTCCAATCTTCTTTCTGCTCTTTTATCCAAATGAGGCACCAAAAGACAGCAACCTAAACCGGCGCACGAAAGTGCATGGTTAATGGTTGTAAAAACTGAAATGAACTAGCAGAATCATGGAGGAAAATATATATGAAGCTTAGAGTGACAAATCTCAATAAGTTGATTTTTTAGTGTACATTTATCAGAAATTCAAGGGAAAAGAGGAAACACAAAGAACTAGAAAAAACTTACACGACCGACTTCGCCTTTTCATAGGAGTCATGCTTTGTTTGTGTTTCGGTTGTTTGCGATCCACCTTGTCATCGATGGTGACTCGTGAGAACGCGGAATCTGATTGTTTCACATTGGAAGTAACGCATCTGCCTGGGCTTCCGTTGTGATGGGGTTGCTGTACTGGAATACCTGTTGAACGATGAATGAGTGGTGGTGAACTGGGGCAAACATATGCGTTGCATGCGTTTGGCATGTTTCGGAGCATTTCGCGCCGTTGCGCTCGGCCACTACTACCAGGATCATCCTTCTTGGGACTGACATCGTCAGAAGAATCCCCACCTCCGGTAGACAGTATTCTTATGTTCTGGATGAATTGGCTCCTTGAAAATTAGAACAAATTTAGATTGAACATTTGCGGCAAATCTAAATAATAACCAACCACATAAGGGATCGTGTTTCTTGGTAAGCGAACTTAATGAAACAAAAAGACATTTAGCGATTAAATGTTAAATTTCATGTTCAACTTATCGTGCGCCACTGAATGCAAGACATGCATTATCCATCAATTATTAATTGGATATCCATAATAAGTCCGGTACACCAAGGCAGAAGAATAGAACAATTGTACCAATTTAACAGTACCCATCCTTTCTTGTACTCGTAATTACTATATTCCGACATTCATTGATGAGTAATCCTGCTTTCCACTGTAACTGCATGTGTAGTTGCACTACAATTTCTCGTTTATGGGATTTTTCCTACACTCTGCATGCTACATTATCTGCGTTCCGAAAAAGGAATCCATTTTACGCCTCAGAAACTGAAGACGTTTCTTCACGATTATGGTGCAGCCAACAGCAGAACAATGAGCCAAGATCCTCAAAATGAAGGTCAGGTTGAACTGCTGAAAGGAGCATAGATGGGAGTTGACGGCACGTGACGCACAGTACACTAAACTCATTATTATTTAGCGCATAACTATCACCATCGTACAACGAAATACAGTGAAGCGAACTTTACTGGTCACTGCAATTGCACAAAAGCATACAAAGTTAGCGGAATATGCACGGTGGACAGGGACTGAACCGATTTTGAGGGAAAGGCGAAGAGAGGGGAAGTGAACCTCTGTGGTCAACACAGAATATACAACCCAACTGTGCATACATATTTTTCAAGCATTCTGACCTAACAATAAATGAAAACAAGAACTGATAGAAGACAAATACTGCGAGATGTTAACATTTCTTTTAATCTCTTCAGTAGCTACAACACAAAACAATCGTATTTATACAAGCAAGTTTTGGTAACTACAGTGGTAAAACGGACAATAGTCAGGGAAGCGGGGGAGAGGCTAGAGTGGGAAATCAGATGGAACCTTGCAAAGATTCGTCTACCGGAAGACTACATGGAGTGGACAATACTTACAATTTGCCAGTTTCGCTTCTGTGGC